GGGATTCGAACCCGCGACCACAGATTGCAAGTCGAGTGCCCTAACCACCTTGCCATGCCGGGCCCTTACGTTTAAAACCGTCAACAACGAGAATAAATTAATAGTACGTTTGACCGCCTAATAAAATTGTAACAAAATAAATATATACAAATATAAAAACATTAAAGAATAAAATAAACTTTTTTGTGCACTTTAACTCTATATTCTTAGTGTAAATCAATGAAGAACTTTAAATTAATATTAGATTAACGATAATGAAAAGTAAAAACTAAACCAGATTAATATGGAAAAAACACAGCGATTAGTTACCTCGCAAGGGGACTCTGAATGTGTTTTTTTAATTACATAAAAAATAACATAAGATACTTATGTTGATTTATAAAGCAGTATTTCGTTATTTGAGCCTAAATGAATGTATTAGGTTTCATCTGAAAGGTTCCTAAAAGCCGATATCATTTATTTGCTGTCTAGTATCCTCCTGCTTCCCCTTTCTTGTTTGATTGCATTGTAGACGGAAGATATTGCAATGCAGATCAGGATTTAAGACAAATGATTCCAAACTTAAATTCTATAACATAGAAAATATATTTTATAACCTAGGTAAACAATAAAAATGATCATTTCTACAAATATACTTGTCATAAGACCTCAGTATTATGCCTGTTACATTTTTAAACACTGCATTCTTAATGTGGTCGCTCAGAATTTTTCAAGAATTGAAAGAGTGTCTCATGACAAGTACAATTATAATAATTCTTTGCCGGCTTCTAAAATGCCTTCACACCTTAACAATTGCTGTTGTATCAAATATAAATAGTGCTCCGATCATTGCTGTGTTTGTTGTACCCGAGCCGTCTCGAAGGTCTTTGGATTGAGCGAAACGTGTCGTCGGCAATAGATATGATAAATATAGTGTGGTTGGAATACTAGATTAAGGACTAGATTAAGAATGTAATGTTTACAAAATGTAATAGGCCTAATACTAATTTCTTATGACAAGTATAACGAAAGAATAACACAAAACGACCGACGTTGAACGACCAGCGGTCGTCATTTTCAAGGTCATGATAACAATATAGATGGCTTACTCTGAAAATGATGACAGATGGTCGTGAATCATCGATCAGTTTTATGTTTATCTTTTTCGCTGATTTACCGTATTTTACGGTGTACAAGACGCACTTTTTTACCCCAAAATTTGAT